CATTTAAGAACAGGGTTTTGTAAATGTAGTTGACACAAGAGAATTTGTGGAGTGAGATTATGTTTAGCATGTTTAGGAAGTTAAACAAGGGGGCTGTGTGTTGTCTGAAAGCAGAATTTGATATTATTCTGATAGCAGATTTTTGCTGGGTGATGATGGACTTGAGGTGGTTTGCAGTGGTTGAACCCCATGCACAGATACCATATGGGGACTTTAATATTGACCTCTGCGAGCCTGAACACCCTACTGCTGTTAGCTTCCTCAACTGTATGAATTCCTGCTGCCTCATACCCTTAATCACTAGACCAACTAGAATCACTGATAGTACTGCTACGACTCTAGATCACATCTGGACCAACATAACCTCTCCGCTTACTTCAGGTATAATCACCGATAGCACTACAGACCATTACCCCACATTTCTCTTAACTAACATTAGCAAACCACCTCTAGAGACAAGGGAGTTAAGCTTTAGGCTGCACAATGAAACTGCTATAAACAATTTTATAACTGCTGCTGATAATGTCAACTGGGAGTCCGAGTTAGGTAACATAGGGGACATCAACCTAGCAGTGCAATCTTTTCTACAAACAACTCTTAACCTTTATAACACCCACTGTCCTATGCTTACAAAACAAGTCACAAGCAAAAGGCTTAACAATCCTTGGCTTGCAAAGGGAATACTTAAATCCATTAACAAAAAACATGACCTTGAGAAGAAGTATAGGTTAGGAATTGTCTCCAAAGAATTCTCAAAGAATTACTCATTATTGCTATCTAAGATAATTAGACGAGCCAAAACTAAATACTACGAAGATAAATTTACCCAAATAAAGAGCAACATTAAACAAACTTGGAGCACAATTTCACAAATATTGGGATCAAAGAAATCTTTAAATAACAAACCGACTCTCCTGTCTAATAATGATGGTCAGCTTTCAGCCTCTGATTCTGCTATTGAGTTCAATAGGTTCTTCTCTTCCATTGGTTCATCCCTTGCAAATGATATTCCATCTTCCAGTACTGACATTAAGGACTATCTTACAGGTAACTATCCACAGTCTCTGTACCTAAAGCCTATTAACTCCACTGACGTCAATGAGATAATCCTTTCCCTTAAAACCAAGTCTGGTGCCCTTGAGGAGATACCAACTTTAATTTACAAAAAAGCCTCCAGATCTTTAGCCCCTGCTATTGCTTTGCTCTTCAACAAGTCACTTGAACTCCAAACCTTTCCAGATATCCTAAAAAAAGCGAGAGTAACGCCTGTCCACAAATGTGGTGATCCCACAGATGTTAACAACTACAGACCTATATCAATCCTGCCAAACTTGTCAAAAATTTTTGAAAAACTAATCTATAAGCAGCTTTACTCATATCTAGCCAAACTCAATATACTTAGCCCTTGCCAATATGGCTTCAGACCCCAAAAAAGCACTAACGATGCACTTATTAGTATGCTTAACTCGATTCATACAGCTCTTGATAAAAAGGAGTTCCCTGTTGGGTTATTTGTGGACCTGCGTAAAGCTTTTGATACTGTCAACCACCAAAACCTTCTTCTTAAATTACATCATTATGGAGTGTAATGCCAATCCTGATCTCAAAAGCTTCATAGAAGGTTGTAACAGAACCCATGAGCACCACACCAGAAATAAATACAGTTTTGATATTCCTAGAGTACGACTTAATTAAACCAGAAATGCTCTACAAATCAAGGGGCCCAGAATGTGGAATGACCTTCCCAACCATGTTAAAGACTGTACCTCTCTCAACCAGTTTAAGTTAAAAACGAAGCTATACCTAATAAATTCCCTGTAACCTACCTTACCCCTCTATTGTCAACCCATGTATGTTTTTGTTTTTTTTTGTTTTTCAAATCAACGCTGTTTGAATGTAATTTTCTGTAATAATTTGTAATTGTATTTGTGCTGCTTTTTCAACAATGTTCCCCCCTCTTTTACGTCTATTTTTATTTGTACTCAACACATTTTATTCTTTTTACCCATTAGTTTTAAGCTTTAGTCATTAGTGTTTTTTCCTGCCCGAAACGCTTTGCGTAATAGTGGCTTTAGGCATTGTATGTACTAGCTCTATCTATAAAGCCAACAAACTTTGTAAAATCTCTTTATGTATGTACCTTTACCTAAATAAAAACTATTATTATTATTATTATTATTATTATTATTATTATTATTATTATAAGATAACATGAGATAAGATATTTATTAAGGTAAAAGTACATATATTGAAAATGAGTTACAAACATGATGTTGGATTAATAGATAGAGCTAGTACATACACTGCCTGAAGCACTAGTGCGCACAGAGTTTCGGGCGAGGTAAAAAAAAAAGACTAAAACTTAATAATTATTGAGATCAAAAGGATAAATTGAATTAAAAAAAAAAAAAGAGAATGATAATAATTACCTGATGGATAGAACAGTAGAAAAAGCAGAAGAAATGTTAACAAAATAAACAGAAGATTACAATTTTCTTTAATCAATTAAATAAAATCAAATTTTTACTCAGGTAAAAGTAGATACATTCAAGACGAGTTACAAACACAATGTTGAATTTTTAGATAGAGTAGTACATACAATGCCTAAAGTCACTAGTACACACAGCGTTTCAGGCAAGGTGTGGGAACAATCAACCTAATTTGGCCATAGCAACAACACAGCTAAGGATTCAAATTTCCTTTTATTACCACAGTACAGTAGATAACTAGAATTAATCATAATAGTTGTTTAAGCCACCATATGTGGTATAATTTATATTTAACTAGAGGTAAATATTTACAACTTAATTTATATCCACTCATTGTGGTGTAAGTTGTAAATATCCCTCCAAACTATGTGCAGATAAGTTCTGGCTGGCTGAATCAAATATACAGTCCGCTTAGAATCACAATAATTCAATATTGAAGTTAACAAAAAATATAATAAATGCCTGCTAGGATTTTCAAACACCATAAATACAGTGTGAAAGCTATGCAACTGACATATGTGGAAAGCTCGTGTTACAATTTATGTTTGTCCTGCACACCGTCCCCCATCCAGTGGGCAGCGGTGGATAGGTTACAATCACTTAGTTACTACCTACAGTTAGCAAACTGGGGATATTTGACTATGATTTCTGGAAGCATATAATTATGATTTAAATATTTACGCATCTCTGGAATATTTGTTATAGAATTGTTTCTGAATTCACGTATCTTTTCGTACTCCATCACATAGTGACAGAGGGTGTGCGAATAATTTTGTTGACACAGTTTACATTTGGTCCTCTATCATGTATTCGGAGGCCAACATGAGATGGAGTCCACATGAAATGGACTCTGTTACCATCTTAATAATTGTGCTGTATTTGTGTCTAGCTTCGGACACGAGCATGTTACAGTTATGTCTTAAAGAGTTGAGAGAATTTAAGGATGATAAGGAGTCACTTACAATTAATGTATCAAATTTGGAGACTTGTACACATTTCAGTGCAAGGAGCAAGGCAAATAGTTCGGTCTGAGGGGTAGAGGCTCAGTTGTTTATACGGACTCCCCACTCACAATATAAGCCATCGCCCATTGTCAGGACAACTGCACTTCCATCTGCACCTGCGGGGCGGTGTGGGGAACCATCAGTGTATATGATTTAAGATTTTTTAATTTCATTTCTTTATTATGTACCCCATACCCATCCCGTGGGCGGTGGTGGGAAAGGGTTATAGAGGCACATAATGGGTTCAGCAACTGAACCCCCTGGTTCGTTTAGCTAAGCAAGTAACAATCTTTTGACGCTAGTTACACAATTGTTAATATTACATACGCATGTACATATATACACATACATGTACACAAATACATATACATATCAATAATCTTTTGATAACACAAGTGATTCAACAAGAGGCTCACAACAGTCTCTATTCATGGCACTTTACACCTGTGGTGAGTCAGTTACTGTTACATTTAAGGCGGAAGAGAAACAATCTTCGTTCACATGGTTTATTGTCAGCAACAACAACAACAGGTATCCGGTACATAACTTATTATTTACAAGATTATAAACAAAAGAGCATCTGCTCAAAACATGCTACACTTAACATCTATAGTACTTAATCCTTATAGTTACTAGTCTTGCTACACACACACCCAACTGGGCGGCAGCTTTACAGTCATGTGCTCCACACCCACCCAACTGGGCGGCAACTTTACAGTCATGTGCTCCACACCCACACAACTGGGCGGCAGCTTTACAGTCATGTGCTCCACACCCACCCAACTGGGCGGCAGCTTTACAGTCATGTGCATGCATTACCTACAGTTAGCAAATTTTGGATACTTCGCTAAGATTGCTGGCAGTACATCATTATTGTATACTATACATATACATATATGTACATGTACTATACTATACATGTACTATACATGTACTATACATATACAAAACGCTAAATTGTAATGCCAATCCTGATCTCAAAAGCTTCATAGAAGGTTGTAACAGAACCCATGAGCACCACACCAGAAATAAATACAGTTTTGATATTCCTAGAGTACGACTTAATCAAACCAGAAATGCTCTACAAATCAAGGGGCCCAGAATGTGGAATGACCTTCCCAACCATGTTAAAGACTGTACCTCTCTCAACAAGTTTAAGTTAAAAACGAAGCTATACCTAATAAATTCCCTGTAACCTACCTTACCTCTCTATTGTCAACCAATGTATGTTTTTTGTTTTTGTTTTTTGTTTTACAATTCAACGCTGTTTTAATGTAATTTTCTGTAATAATTTGTAATTGTATTTGTGCTGTTTTTTCAACAATGTTCCCCCCTCTTTTACCTCTATTTTTATTTGTATTCAACGCATTTGTTTCTTTTTACCCATTAGTTTTAAGCTTTAGTCATTAGTGTTTTATCCTGCCCGAAACGCTTTGCGTAATAGTGGCTTTAGGCATTGTATGTACTAGCTCTATCTATAAAGCCAACAAACTTTGTAAAATCTCTTTATGTATGTACCTTTGCCTAAATAAAAATTATTATTATTATTATTATTATTATTATTATTATTATTATTATTATGAATGAAGTTCTTACACATTTCTTGGACTTCACTGATGGTGTTATCCCTGAATTCAGCGATTTTTTCAAATTTCATTATATAATGACGCAAAGTATGCGAATAGTTCTGCTGACAGTTTACATTTAGTCAAATCTAAATCAGCACATTCAAACTTCCAGAGGTACTTGTAGCCGAGCCTAAGCCAGCAGTTTGAGAGAGAATGCTCTGTGGACTGTATCCACATGGCTTAAGGCGTTGAGCTTTGCCTCGTGACTAAGGTTGAGTTGATCTTTAATTGCTACTTGGGTAGACAAAAAAAGAAGGATTCCAGTGTCAGCTAATTACTATCTTACCTTTTGTGCTTCAACACACTGTAAATTTAATTACAATTATGTGAACAGATGTAATACCTTCAAACCTGTTTATCTAATACCTATCTAATATCTACCTGTTTATCTAATAATAATTATATGTAATACCTAATGGACAAGAATGTAACAACTCTTGTATATATCTCAAAAAAAAACATCTAAGGACCTCGTTATGTGTCATATTATATAATGTGAAAACCTTAGACTATCTACTGAAGTAATCAGTCGGAGTCATTCTCGACTCACAATCGGGAATTCCGGTTTCAAATCCTGGGCGAGACAAAAATGGTTGAGCGCATTTTTTATCACCTAATGCGGCCGTTCACATAGCAGTAAATAGGCACACAGGAGTCAGTCAGCTTGTTGAAGAGATACATTCTGGGGAGGGTGAGTAATTCGACCCTTGGGGGGACTTCGATATAAGCCTAACACGTATATATATACATTGGTTGCCTGTCCCCCGACACAATGAATTATTATATTAGTAGTAGTGTAAAGAAAGATCTAAATCATATAGCCCCATATTATGTAAATGTGGCGCTTTCGGATATATGTCAATACAGCCTCCTTTAGATACCACCTTGTAGCTAAGTCCACGCTGAGAGATGAGATTTATTACGTGAGGCTTGAGGACAGGTTGGTTCTTCTCACTGTGTAGACCTCGACCTGTTATGATGCGAACTCTGGACTCGTCAGAATGTTTCCTCAAGAAGGAGTTGACAGCGACGCCAGCCTCATGTCTGTACATACCATGCAAGTCCAGTTCCCACCTCTCTCTCGATTCTTCATTTAACTGAGTATTTGAACTGCAAAAAGAATAGTTTACAGTGAAAAAAAGCTAAGAAACCCCTGAAAATGCAAACGGAAATCACAATAGTGTGATCTATCAATGAGAACATTTTGGAATAAAAAGTGGGTGCTCACTTTTTCTAGCCTATCCAAACATGCCACTACTGACATGCAAGAAGCTGAGGCGCGTCTGTGGACCTCAGACACGCCAGTTCCATGAACTTATAGCTGTTTTTTTTATTCACACTGTGTAATCTTTCGTATAAAATAGGGTAGCAGCACATTGCTGTGTATACCTAAGTCAGTTAAATCGAAAAATATCCATCCCACCAAAATTTTCTCAAATAAGTACAATTTATGGTTTATTCATTTTGCCAACTACGAAATTTCATTAAGCAGAAATACAGTAAAGAAAATTTGACAAATACATGTAAATGGAGATATACAACTAAATGAATCAAAGGAAAATTTACATAACAAAGATTACTCACGGAGGAGCAGTCTCAGTGTAAACAGGACCACGTTGAGCCGGAAGTACTATCAAGTGATGGTCCTGGTACATCCGTAAGTTACGATGTTGAGCCGGACGTGCCAATGTCTGGCCCTGGTACATCCGGACGTTGCCATCTTCACTCGGGCCCACCAATATTAGCCACAATAGGAAAAATACTATTGCCACTACCATTAACACTTGCTCAAACTCTGCCGACATTTCCAACACTGGCACCAATACCTTATTAGATTAATATCTGTAAAATATGTTATAATTATTTTTATTATTGTCATTTGTTGTTATTTATTTACTTATTTATGTTGTTGAATATGACCGAGAGGGTAAGATAATAATTCTAACACGAATTTCTCAATATTTCTTACGTTTATCTTCACTGTTGGGGGTAATTGAAAAATTAACTCTCCAAAATTAATTCTTTTATTTTTGGTCTGACGCCTGAACGCGTTTCATAATGCTTATTGCATTTGCAAAGACTAGTTTACACATAACATTCATTATACTTACACTCGTTTTGGGTGAAGTGATATGGTACAAAAGTTTTGGGTGAGGTGACAAAGCTATGCCAGAAGTATGTACGTACGTAAGTACGTACGTACGTACGTAAATTCGAAAAAGTACGTACGAATTCGTGACTATTAACGACCATCACAATAGGTACTATATAAACAGGAGGATGGGCTGCAGATATACAAATCTCTACAGTGTCATACTTTTCCTGATATCCTTAAAAAAAACAGAGTGACGCCAGTTCATAAAAGAGGCGAGACAGCTGACATAAACAATTACAGACCAAAATCAAATTTACCTATACTTTCACAAATATTTCCAAAATTATTTACGAACAGCTCTATTACTACTTTGTAAAACTCAGCATATTAAGCCTCTGCCAGTTTGGCTTCCGTTCCCAAAAGAGTACCAATGATGCCATTATTACTCTGCTAAATATAATCTACACAGCCCTTGACAAAAATGAGTTCCAATTGGCCCTCTTCATTGACCTGAGAAACCCCTTTGATACTGTAAACCATAACTATCTCTTACTTGAACTTCACCACTATGGTATCTGAGGCCTTGCTCTGGACTATATTCGTTCCTGTCTCAGTGACAGACACCAATATGTAGCCATCAATTGCATAACCTCCCCCACTCTACCATTAACAGTAGGGTTGCCACAGGGCAGCATCTTGGGACCTCTCCTATTTCTTATATACGGCAATGATTTGCCAAATGTTTCTAACATTCTTAAACCTATACTATTTGCTGATGATACTACCTTCATCTATTCTGACCCCAACCCCCACACACTGAATAATATTGTCAACAATTAATTAAAAAAGTCCACTCATGGATGTCAACCCGCAAACTTACACTAAACATAAAAAGACCTTCTACATTTTTTGGTAGAAAATCATCAAATCAGATTCAACTTCAGATAGACAATGTTAATATTAGCAATAAAATGGAGGGAAGTTCTTTGACCTTCACATGGACAAAGGACTGAACTTCAGCACCCACATACAACACAACCAACAAAGGTCTCCAAAACGGTCGGTATACTTACTAAAATCAGATATTATGTTCCCCACTCTGCTCTCCTCTCATTATACTACGCACTAATATATCCCTCTCTCATATACGGTATCTGTGCATGGGGTTCAACCACTGCAAATTACCTCAAGCCTAGTATCACTCAGCAAAAATCTGTTATCAGAACCGTAACAAACGCTGTCTTCAGACAACACACAGCCCCTCTGTTTAAGTCCCTTAACATGCTAAACGTACATTCACTCCACACATTCTCATATGCTATCTACATGTACAAAACCTTGTTCCTAAATGCTAATCTTGATCTGAAACTTTTCTTTGATATCTGCAATAGAACCCATAAGCACTACACCAAAAAAAAATCCCTTTAATATCCCCCAGAGTCAGACTAAATCTGAGCAAACACTCCATGCAAATAAGCGGGTTCAGTCTTTGGAACTTACTCCCTGGTGAATACATAAAATTCCAACCAAAGCCCTATTCAAAAATAAAACCTAAAAGTACCTAATTTCATTTTTCACCTAATTTTTTTACCTAAGTACCTAATTTTTAATTTTTCATCCTCATAGTTTCCTTTGTGCTTCAAACTCGGACTGTATCTTACTACCCACTTCCCCAATATTAGTACTTAAGGCATATATCCTTACCAGTGTAATCACCGCTGTCAACTTATATTGTAGTTATTTGTTAATATAAAACCTTGTTACACTGTACCGTTTCATCTTACCTGATATGGTACTTACCTGATATGACCTTGCCAGTAAAATCCCACAGACTCAGACACATATCAACACATATCTCTCAGGCAGCTATCCAAACTCTCTTCTCCTCTCACCAGTCAGCCTGACAAATGTTGTGTCCATCATACACTCACTAAAAACCAAAGCTGGGAACATCAGTGAAATCCCATCCATTGTATACAAGAGCGCCTCCCAAGCCCTTGCGCCACCTATAGCTCTGCTGTTCAACAAATCCCTTGAGTGTCATACCTTCCCTGATATTCTTAAAAAAGCAAGAGTAATGCCAGTTCATAAAGGAGGTAATCCGGCAGACATAAACAATTATAGACCAATATCAAACTTACCCATACTATCAAAAATATTTGAAAAATTATCTACAAACAGCTCTACTCCTATCTCGTAAAATTCGACATACTCAGCCCCTGTCAGTTTGGCTTCCGCTCCCAAAAGAGCAACAATGATGCAATTATTAGTCTCCTTGACATAATTTACTCAGCCCTTGACAAAAATGAGTTTCCGATTGGACTCTTCATTGACCTGAGAAAGGTCTTTGACACTGTTAATCACAATTACCTCTTACGTAAACTCCATCATTATGGAATCCGAGGCCATGCACTGGACTATATCCAATCCTATCTTAGTGATAGACACCAATGTGTAACCATCAATAATATAACCTCTCCCATTCTACCAATAACCGTTGGAGTGCCACAGGGCAGCATCTTGGGACCTCTCCTATTTCTTATATACATCAATGATCTGCCTAATGTCTCTAACATTCTGAAACCTATTTTGTTTGCTGATGATACTACCCTCATCTACTCCAACCCCAACCCACATACACTAAATGATGTTGTTAATAATGAACTAAAAAAAGTCCACTTATGGATGTCAACCAATAAACTAACACTTAACATACAAAAGACCTACTACATCTTATTTGGAAGCAAATCTGCAAATGCAATTCAGCTTCAGATAGATAATGTAAACATTAGCAATAAAAATGATGGAAAGTTTCTTGGCCTATTCCTAGACAAGAGACTCAACTTCAGCACCCACATACAACACATAACTAAGAAAGTCTCTAAAACAGTTGGGATACTCTCCAAAATCAGATATTATGTACTTAACGCTGCTCTC